ACCCTCAGCCCTCCGCAATGCATTCTCCGCTCAGCAGCAAGAGGATGTTCTTAGGAGTCAGACCACACCGTCCAGCGCCTTCTGGTATGCTGACATGCGAAGCCAAGGCCTTCCCCGGCCTACAGGGTCCTTGGGACGGAGCCAGGGCCCCCTGTCCTGAGCTGTCCCCCACTCTCCATCCCCTGCTCGCTTGCTGGCAGCCACACTTGCCCTCTGGTTCCTGTTATACTCCCTGCCAAGTTCTTCCTGCCTCAGGGCCTTTACATGTGCCGCTGCCCCACCTTCCCACTGGTGCTCATCCTTCAGCCCTCAGTGAACACTTCTCCACAGGGAGGTCTTTCCTGTCCATCCTGCGGTGGAAAGGAAGACTCCTCCTGCTAGTCTCTTTCCGGTTTGGTTGTGGGCACTCATCATGGTCTATGGCAACTTTTGTCTGTCCCTGGACCTGCTGATTGCCAGTGCCCCCCCACCCCAACCCCACTGTGGAAAGTGAGCTTGTCTGGCCCAGCTCCTGCGGCAGTGCCTGGCACACAGAAGGTATCAGATGCACATTCACTGGGCACCTGCAGTGCTAAGCAATCGGCTTGTATCGTTCCATGTGACCCTGACCACCACATGCGACTTAGGTACTCTTAAGATTGTGCCCATTTTACAGAAGAGGACACGGAGGCTCTGAGAAGGAAGTCACATACTCAAGGCCACAGAGCACTAGAGGCAGAGCTGGGATCCAAGTGGTCTGCTCCCAGAGCGGTGGCCCCCAATGAGTCACTGTTTTGCTGTGAGTTGTCTTCCTCTCCCAGCGGGAAAGATTTGAGAAATACTTAAGGTAGAGAAATGATTGTGGTTTAGTCACCTTGGGGTGTGGCGTGATGCTAAGATGTTTGGGCAGAGTGTGGCACGGGACGTGACGACCGTGGTGGGGGGGGAGGGTAATGGTGGATTTCAGGGGGGGGGGAATGGGGTCTGAGACATGCTGGGACAGAAGCTGGCTGTGGCTACAAGCTCACGCGGGCAGAGAGTCAGCTGTGAGAATAGCTGAAAGTCTTCTGCAGCCAATACTCCGCTCTGAGCCATGACAAGCTGTGAATACACAGCTCGACGGCAACCAGATGAACCCAACCCGCCACCGGGCATTTCACCAAAGAGACTGGCAGGGAGCAAAGTGCTGATGATGCGTGGCTGGTGGACACAGGCATTCTTGCCTACCGTCGAGGAAATGCTAACAGCATCTGCTGAGGTCACTCTGGCAAACAGCCGCTAGTGTGCAAAATGCTATTTGTTCCTTTTGGTCTAAATATGGATGTACTGTTTTTTGGGTTTTTTTTCGTGTGGTACTCGATTTCTTGTCCTTCAGTTTGTTTTCCTGTATCCTGGATTTCTACGATTGTTTCTGATCACAAAGTAATCCACACTTGTCAGTAAAACACCAAACATCAAAAAATAACATAAAACGGAAACCTCCTGCGATCTCTTCTGTCTGCATTAACTGTTTGGTGTGTACTTTTACAGAACTTTTTCCCCAGTGCCTACCTTTTTATTATATTTTATTTTTTAATGTTTATGTATTTATTTTAAGAGAGGGAAAGCACAAGCAGGAGAGGGGCAGAGGTTGAGATGGAAAGAATCCCAAGCAGGCTCCGCACGATCGGCGGAGAACTCATGAACCATGAGATCATGGCCTGACCTGAAATCAAGAGTCGGATGCTCAGCTGACTGAGCCACCCAGGTGGTCCTACATCACCCAGTTTACTCACGGGAAAGGCTGCAGGCTGCAGCACCGAGGAGTAAACTGAGGCAGAGCCCAGCAGACCCCCTGAGCAGAGAGAGTGCTTTGGAGATCTGCAAGGTCCTCCCTGAAGCATCAGATTACAGATCACAACATGCATACATGGAAACTACCCACGCTCGCAGAAGAACCCAAAAGGATTTGAAAGCAGTACCCAGAGCCCGTCAGGGCTGGGCACAGAGCCTTCTCACACCAGCCAGCCAGGTAACCCACACCACCGAATTCACGGGCAGCGGGCAGGGCACTCAGGGGGTTGTGGGGACAGCAAGCCATCTAGACTGAGCACAGGTCATAACGGCAGAAAGTGAGAGCAGGTCAAATGACACGGGGTTGGTGTCAAAACAGATACAGATGAAGGACACAGAACAGAGCCGGGAGTTCGACCCACACACGCGCACACGGACAGCTGATTTTTGACAAACATGCGAAGGCAATTCAGTGGAGAAAATTCAGTGGAAATGTTTCCAGTGGAACAGTTCGGCCTTTTTGACAAAGCCTGTGGAACAAGTGGATACTCTCAACGACCAAATTGAGCTTCAATGAACACTTTGCATCATTACAAAAATTAACTCTCTAGGGGCGCCTGGGTGGCGCAGTCGGTTAAGCGTCCGACTTCAGCCAGGTCACGATCTCGCGGTCCGTGAGTTCGAGCATCAGGCTCTGGGCTGATGGCTCGGAGCCTGGAGCCTGTTTCCGATTCCTCTCTCTCTGCTCCTCCCCCGTTCATGCTCTGTCTCTCTCTGTCCCAAAAATAAAAAATAAAAACGTTGAAAAAAAACTTAAAAAAAAACCAAACAAAAAAAAACACAAAAAAACAAAAATTAACTCTCTAGGGATCCCAGAAGAAAACACAAAACCTAAAAACCCTACGGTTTATGGAAGAGAACCTTTGTGGCCTGTGACAGGCAAAGATTTCATAGATATGGTCCCAAAAGCATGATCCTCGAGGAAAATGATTGATAAACTGGACTTCGTCAAGTTAAAAACTTCTGCTCTTCAACAATTAGTTGACTGTGGGGCACTTGGACACCTGCATTGAACGGTGACGTCAGGCCCCTTTTCTACACGGTTCACAAAAACTCACTCAAAATAGACCAACAACCTAAACAAAGAGCCGAAACTATAAAAGTCTTAGAAGAAAACACAGGAAGGAATCTTAGCGGCTTGGGTTGGGCAATGGTCTCTTAGGACACCAAAAGCATGGAAGATCCCCAAGAAAGGCTAAAATAACAAAGATTGCATATCCAAAATTTTGACAGATCACAGAGTAGCCGGAACTCCTAAGCACGGAAATGTGAAATGGCACCAACCGCTTTGCAAAGAACGTCTGGCGGTTTCCTGAAAGGTCGGGACACATGATTGCGTGGTTCAACTGTTCTCCTGGTGTTTGCTCAAGAGAAAGGAAAACACAGGTCCTCGGTGAAAGCTGTCCGCACGGGTTCACGGCAGCTCTATTTCTATCAGCCCAGAATCGGAGACAGCGCAGATGTTCGCCAACAAGCGAAGGGACACACAGACTGTGTTCTATCCAGGAAGTAGACTGTTACTCGGCAATTAAGAGGAGTGAACTACTTGTACACGCAACATGGCGAACCTCAAAATACTTCTGCCGAGTGCAAGGAATCAGACCAAAAAGACTACTGGCTGTATCAGTGCATCTATATAAAGTTGCAGAATGCGCAGATTAAACCAAAATGCCGTAAGGCTGCCCAAGGAACGGAGGTGCGTGCACGAAGCACTGGCAGGTGCTGGAAATGGGTAATGGATATGTTCGTCATCTGGACCGTGGACATGGCTTCCCCCCGGGTGTAGACGGGTGTCAGAATGCATCCAATTGTTCGCTTTAAAAAAGTGCAGTTAACTGTAGGTCAATTATACTTCACAAAAGCCATAAAAGAAGTGAGAACATATTCTAGTTCTGAAAATTAGTGTTTTTTTTTTTTTAACCTAACACTATTATCAAGGGACATCTTTCCACGTCAGCGTCTACAGAGAGCCCTCATCTTTGAAGAGATGTGTGGTCTCCATCTCACTGGTATAATGGGATATGTTTAGCCAGTCTTGTGTAGGTAGGCATTTAGGCCTTTTATCCTTTTCCTCCTATGTAAAACTTTGCACACTTACAGGGAGATCGCTAAAGACAGAACCGTTAAAAATGTGGTTGATAATGCCAAACTGTCCTCCAAAAGAGCTGTCCCAACTTTATGCTCCTAAAACGAGAAAGTCCTTTTCCCTACACTCTCATAATACAGGCTATCTTCATTCTTTTTCATCTCTGTGTACCTCACGGGCAAAAACTAGATTTCTTTGACTTGATTTGTATTTATTTCTCTGACTATTGGTAAGCTTTAAAATTTTTTTATGAAGGGTAATTTTGTATATTTCTACATTCATGAACTGCCAGCTCATAGGTTTGGTCTATCTTCCTATCATCCTTTTTCTTGTTTTATTCTTGTTTACTCCTGGGAGCTCTTTATATAATTATAATCCTTTGACCATTACACAGGTGGTAAATATTATTCCCCCATTACCTGTCAACTTTATTTTTATCTTTGAGTCATTTAAACTTCCTACATAGTCAAATCTGTCCATCTTTTT